CTCCTCTGGTTCTCAAGAAATCCTTTTGGTCAAAACAAGTGGACAAGCGCCCTGGCTCTCCATGTCCTCGCCTCTTCCTTCTTCCCTGGCTCTCTCCTTCCCTTTTTGTCTTTTTAAGTCCCTTCTCCCTTCTCTTCATGTTTCTCCTCTCTCTTCCTAACCCTGACACTCCCTCTCAAACTTGGTTTTACAGTTTTTGAATCTGAGAAGATAAAAACTGCCCCCCTTTTATATAGAAGTTATTCCTCAGGAGGTGAGCGCAGTGCGTCTTGGCCCCGGTGCTCTCTGAACCTTGATTCTTGCATCTGCCTGAGCGCTGGGCTGGCAAGACTCGGAGATCAAAGCACTCGCTCCCCANTGGCCTCGGTGCTCTCTGAACCTTGATTCTTGCATCTGCCTGAGCGCTGGGCTGGCAAGACTCGGAGATCAAAGCACTCGCTCCCCAGGCCCTGGGCCCTGCCAGCTGCACCTGGGACGTGCCTCCCGGAGCCACTGCAGTTTAGCTTGGCCAGGAGCCAAGCCTGTTTCCTAAGATCCAACTTTTTCAAAAACCCAGGCTGTAGAGCCCAAGGGGGAGTGACGCCAGAGAATGATTTAACGTGTAACTGATGAGGACTCCAGGACACTGTAATTTGGACATGAGTCAATGAAATAACCAGTCAGCAGTCAAACTGTATGTGTGGGGGCTCCTTGCTTGCTGTTGCTTACTCCTGCCGGCACTGCTGTGTGCGAGGTCAGGAGCAACAGACGTAGAACTTGTCAAGGGGGTCCTGAGGTTCAGAGAGGGTCAGCGATTGTACACAGCTCGGTTAAAACAGCCCTTGCAGAGNCAGGTAATGGCCAGAAGCGACAGATGTAGAACTTGTCAAGGGGGTCCTGAGGTTCAGAGAGGGTCAGCGATTGTACACAGCTCGGTTAAAACAGCCCTTGCAGAGCCAAGCTGTCTTGTNGAGGTCAGGAGCAACAGACGTAGAACTTGTCAAGGGGGTCCTGAGGTTCAGAGAGGGTCAGCGATTGTACACAGCTCGGTTAAAACAGCCCTTGCAGAGCCAAGCTGTCTTGTTTTATTTGAAGAAACAATTCAGAAGTGGACTCGGACACCCTGGAAACATTTGTAAAGTCTTTGCCCCTCAGCTTTGTCTCCCCCAACCCTGCATAGCAGTGTGGGGCTTCCACACAGTGGCGCTTTCCTGTGTCCCCTCCACACTCACTGCAGGCTTTTGGGAGCTAACATGCTAAACCCCATTACCCTCAGCACGACCTTGTTCATGATCAAGGCCACAGGCCCTCCCTTCCCTATCTTTTCAGCTTCATCTTTGCCGTTCCTGAAGCAGTCCCACTCACTCCCATCTTCCTGGAGTGTCCCCCTACCCTTCCCAGTTTCTCAGCTCCATGCCTCTGCTCACTCTGCCCCTTGGCCTGCAGTATCAGCTGGCTAACCTTTCCCAGCACAGGTGCTGTCCCCCACAGGAGGCCTGCCCTGCCTTCCCAGGAAGGGTGGCTCAGGACTCCACCCCTGGGTGTGCACTGTCCCGAGCAGGGAGCCTTAGGGCTGACGTGTGTCTGTTTCCTTCGCTAGACTGCAGGCTCCTTCCGGGAGGGCCTGTATCTCACTCATCTGTGTATTGCCAGCACTTTGCATAACTTCTGACACCCAGTTCCAGCTCAACCGATGCTTCTTGAATGAATGAGCAGGTGCTTTACGGGATTTAGAAGTGGAAAGTTACAGGGGGCTTCTCCTGTAGGGCTGTAGATAAATTATTCCTATTCACAAGAAGCTTAAGATTGATAGTGTAACTTCAAATATACAAAAGAATATTTGATTCGGTAGCATTTGATTAAGGGAGAACTGGTTTTAAACACTTTTGTGATAGAAGGGAAGCTTGTAGTTTTCTCATTAGCTTATGGGCTGCTTACTTTTGACTCTCAGGGTTTGTGCTTCGTAGAGTTCTTTGGAAATCTGTAAGAAGACCTTCTCAGATAAGGTGTATCCTGCTCTGTTCCTAATTAGTGATGGGTGCTCACCTTACACCTCACTGGTTGGTTTAAACAGAAGGGTTCTTCTAATCATTGAAATCATAGTAACTGTTTAGAGAAGGTAATGAGCCAGGAGGGAGAGAGACCCACCTTCATCAGAAAAAAAAACCTACAGAAAGGGGACCTGAACCACTGGGCCAAGTGCCTCATCCCAGCTGGACCTTCTGGGCAGGTTGCAGCCCCACTGTTCCTGCGGGAGTCAGCGTCAGTGGTGACAGCGTGGTCTCGGGATAGCCTGTCGCACTTTGAGCAGACATGGAGCCCCTCCTGTGCTCAGAGTTGACTCCCTTCGGTTATTTCTGACCCAGTCTTGTGCAGTGGGAGGAGGTAATGCGCGGATACTGGGTGCGTGAGCATCACGGCCGTTACCTTAGGGAAGGACGGCTCAGCCTTCACTGGCTTGAGAGCATAAACTTGGTTCTCTAGAGAGATGGTTGGTGCCTACTGTAGACCATTTCTTTTCCCCAGCAGGGCCCATGCTTGTCCACACCCACATGGAACCACCTTGCGATTGAGATTGGGAGTTTGTTTTTTCAAATTTAGATGGCTAACTCATGTGAAAATTCACGTGAATCCTCTTTTTTCATTAGATTCCTGGGCTTCAACCCTGGCCGGTGTGGGCTAAGTGGTTAAGAGTGTCAGTCCCCACACCCAAGGGTCAGGGGCTTGATTCCCAGTCAAGGGCGTGTACCTAGGTTGCAGGTTCAATCCCTGGCCCCGGTCAAGGCGTGTTCAGGAGGCAACCAATCGATGCCTCTCTCTCACATCAATGTTTCTTTCTTACTCTTGCTCTCCCCCCCCTTCCACTCTCTGTAAAAATCAATGGAAAAATAGCCCTGGGGGAGGATTAACAACAACCGAAAAAAAAAAGTTTCTGGACTCCAGTTTTTCCTCCATAAAATGAAACTAGAAAATCTTGGGAGTTGTTTACAGCTTTTAAAATTCCATGATTTATTGTTCTGTCTCCTTTTGTTGTTTTTATTTCAGATTCTCAAGTCATTATTCTTATATTTGTGTGAACAAAATGGGCCATGAACCTCTGGTTGCACAGATGAAGGGCAGCCTTTATTGGAAATATATGTATGTTGGAAGGTTCAATTGTGATGAAATAAACGATAGCCACTTTCAAGGCCAGTAACTGAAAACTGAAGAATTACAGGAAAACATCAGGTTTTCTGCGAGCATAGCTGCTGCAACCCATGATGGCTTTTAGCACCTCTGTCTCTCTCTCTCTTTTTCTCTCTCTCCTCCCCCCCTGCGTGCGCGCGCACAGACACACACCCCTGCGCCTTTCCCCACCCCCTTCTTTCCCCAGGCACCTTGCCTCTGCTTTCCTTCTCCTGAGCTCCAAGGGCCCTTCTTTTGCTTCTGTAACTTGTTTCTTGGGCCCATGCAGCCCAACTGGCTCACTTCTTCCAGGGCTTACTTCTACCTCGGTGTCTTTCTAAATAAACTTTTGCTAGTAAAAATAAAACCAAAGCATATTTATATGTTGGGTCTCAGAATAACAATTCAAATACTTAGGGGCCTCATCTTGTGATGTTCTCACAGGAGTGTCCACACAGTGTTTCCTGTAACTCCAGGAAGAAAGACTCAGAGGCTGGATCTTGCCACATGTGTCCAGCTGCATGTTTAATACTCCTGGAAAAAATTGTTCTGTAAACGTGGAAATAACCAAGTCTGGATGCTTGAACGATGTTCTTTTCTTTGCTTACAGTTGTCAAGACCTTGTATACACAAGAGCACAAAATTAATAAACACTGTCATATTTGCTGTTGTTATAAACCAGGCAGCAATATTTTATTTGCATCATAGGGGATTATTCTGGAATTTCACCCTTAAACGGTTTGAAATGATGGAAAACTGAACCAAGTTTAATTAGAATTCACAAAACATTGCTCAGAGTTACACAGCCAGTCAACATATTTAACAATGTATAAAACTTTTTACTTTTCATAAATTAAATATTGCCCTTGAGAGTATATTCCTGCACAATACCGACTCTGTGTTTTGATGCCCTGGGGGTGATCCTCCATACCTAGCGTTTCCACAGCAGGCTCTTTCTGGAAGGGTTCTGACGCGTGTGTGGGAACCACATATGAGGATGAGGCGAGGCGAAAACCGTCCCCCTCTCCGCCCCCGTCCCCTTCTGCTCATGCACATGCCGTGCTCACCCTGGAAAAATGCAGAGTGACTGGCATGGAGACGCATTCCTGTTCTCTTTGGAAAGCTGGGGGCACTGCCCGGAGTGGCTTTGCCTGCAGTCTGTGTGCTAATCCCTGTTTCTGGAAGCCGTCCTCTCCCTGGGTCCCGCTCTGGAGACCCGGGCAGTGGAAGGGTGATCTTTTCATTTGGGAACGATGACTCGCCCGAGGAACGTAAAGCTCTTTTCTTGTGCAAGGGCAGGTTGTGCCTCCCAATGCAATGTCAAGGTCATGGGTAATGTTCTCTAGTTGGCATCTAACCTTAGGGTTACCAACTCCAAACCCCTCCCTGTGCCACTGCGGTTCTTTGCCACGTACAGTGAGGAGTCCCTAAAGGGGAGCTCATGGAAACTTTTTCTGTAGAAATGAGCGCGTTGGTGGTATCCCTGCCTTTCTGTTCTGGGGGCAGGGAGATGGAAGATGCAAGGCCTGGTCACACATTTGAAGCCCATGCACAAGGGCTGTAATGCAAACTCTTTCTCCAAAACTGAGGTGGCTTTTTCTGACCCAGTCAACAGCAGCCGGCACTTTTTAAGCTGTGGAATGTATTCAAACACGAGACTGCCTCCAACTAATTTTTTTTTTTAAGTGTTGAAAATAATGACCCTTTTGAGGGTGAGTTTCAGTTACTCACCCAGAAGAGAAGGCCACCCCCTGTTTGGAGGGGACACTGATGGCAGCGGGACGGTTAAGGCTGCAGCAGGCAGGGCATTTGCAGGGTGCTTACGGAAACACCTGTGTTCTCTCCTCCTTGACAGGTCATTGAAGAGCCAGGTGTCAAAATGACCGAGCGCTTTGACTGCCACCATTGTGAAGAATCTCTCTATGGCAAGAAGTACATCCTGAGGGAGGAGAGCCCCTACTGCGTGGCCTGCTTCGAGGAGCTCTATGCCAGCACATGCGAGGAGTGCAGGAAGCCCATCGGCTGCGACTGCAAGGTACCCCCGGCCCCCTGGGCAGTGCCCCGTCACTCCTGAACCCCCCCCCACTCTTCAGGAACCATGGGCCTCTCTGTGTGGCTGTGCTAAAGTCCTGATCCGCACCCCCGTTGAAATTTCATCTTTTGGAGCCCCTGTCCCCCCACACACTCTGATGGTCTTGGGACCTTCCAGTAGCCTTCTCAAGCCTCTTCCCTGCCCTGGTTGGTCTCTGCCCACTCTGGCTTTCCCAGGACGTTTGTGCCGAGCGTCCCAAGTACATTGCAGGTATCCGTGACCTTATCTCACAGCCAGCCCAGCGCCCAGCCCTGCAGCTTCAGGGTTCTTACTCCTGTTTGCTCGGTGCTGACTCATGGGAGCAGGTGCTGCTCAGTAAATATTTGAGGGATGACTGTGTGCGTGAGCGAGCGGAGCTGATGGCCGGATGGATGGGCTGTAAATGCAGGAAGTCCACTGGAATATGAGGGGCTCTTCTCTAGTGGCAGAAGGTTAGGGTTTGCGTTGTTCCGTTTTCAAGGGGCAAGTCGCACACGTGGGAATGCCCAGCTCCCCTGTGGTGATGGTGCAGCCGGTCCAGCCGAGGCCCTGGTCCTTCGTGCCGACGGCTGGGGTCCGATGTTGGGAACCCTGCCTGTACGTCTCAGCATGTCTTTGGTCCACACTGGAGCACTGAAGGATGCCCTGGGGTCTGTCCGTGTCTCTGAGACCGCTGCCATCTTCCCTGCAGGACAGCCCGCTGACACCCGGGGCAGCTCTGTACGTGATTGTCATCCGAGAGCCACAGATTGGGTACAGAGTGGGGTCGGTGGGATCTCTAAAGGAATTCCCATGTTTTAAGGCAGTTGGTGGCATTTCACCGTTTTCTGCTCTCGTTCCTTTGTACTCTTTTAGGATTTAGTCACTCGGCTCCGTTGTTATAAACAGCAATACGTAACTGCCGACTGGCAGGCACGCTGTGTGCAGATGGACAGTCCTGACACACCCGATGCACGCTGCTTACGTTCTTTATCACGTCCTTCCTAGGACAGGCCGTAAGCTGCCGGCTGCACCCTCAGTTTCTGCTGCTCGGTATTTAGTGGCACTTGAGGAGTGATTCCCATCTTGTGCAGAAAGGGGCTCATTGTCCGTGCACTGGGCCACTGCAGGCCACACCAGGCCGTGTAGCTTTGGCTTCAGAACACGAGTGGCGTGCAGGTGTCACAGAAACGTAACTCAGGTCGTCCTGTGGAAACTGGAGAAGGTTAGCAGTCCGGCCACCGTGAGCAACACGGAGCTGATCTTGCGAGTCTAGAAGTTGAATACCTGTATCTCCAGCTTGTCCTGAGGATGTGTCCCTGACCCTCATGGCGTTCTCAGTCCCTCTCCATTCATTGACTGGGCCGAGCACAGACCTCAGATGCCGGGCTGCCCGGTTCTGGTCCTGGCTGTGGCTCACTGACCATGTGAACGTGGGCTGAACTTGACCGCTGTACCCTCTTCACATTTCCCAAATGGAGGTGAGACAAGGTGCCCTCTTTACAGGGCAATTATATGGGGACATGAAGCCCTGGGCACCAGAAATGAAGCCGTGGTGTCACCGTAAACTCCAAACTGCCACTCTCTTGCCCGCTACTTCCCTGTTCTTTCCATGATGTGTCCCTCCACACACCTCTCGGAAGCTTTGCCCTCTCTCTTTACCAGTTTGCATTATAAAAACCTCAATAAAAACGTCTGGTTTGAGGAAGAACTAATAGGCAGGGAAAACATTATTATTTTATAAAAGCTTTACCTGGGAAAGAGTTCAGTGGGTGGAGGTTCGGCTGTTATTCCGACAAGGAACAACTGTAGTTTAAAGGAAATATTGTGGATGTTTGGGGCTAGTCATCCTTGACCGGTGACTAATGTAAAAACAAAACAAACACCACGTATCATTTCTCCAATACGACTTAGTAGAAAGACCCTTAAACCTCGCAGTCCTTTAGCACAAACTTTACGAGCAAACACCGGATCTTCCAGATGGGGCCAAAGTCAACATGACCGCTGCGAAGTCGAGAGCTAATCACGCTGAACTCTTCAACCCAGATTAACGGTCTGCCGTGCGTGGAGTTGCGCCCTGGGATTTTCCACATTTTGGAAGAAAGAGAGATGTTGACCTGAAGTTAGATTTTGCCACTGGGTGCTTTTGAATATTTGGAACGGCTCTCTCGACTCAGAAGTAATGATGTGGTTGCCTTTGTGGAGGAAGCAGTGGTGGAAAATGTTTGCTAGGTGGGAAGTAAAGTCAGGGGAGCAGCTGAGCGGCAGGCCTGGGCCCTCCTAGACGAGCGACTGGCACAGGCACCGAGAGCCGCACGCGACTCCCCTCGGAAGGACGTGGGGGTGGGCGTCGGTTCAAAATATCGGTAAGCCTGTGGGAGTCAGGCTAATCTTATGGGTACTGACTGCCTGTTAAATGAGATAGATAAGACTTCAGGCCCTATTACTGTAGTTGGATTACATGTTTGAATATCATTTCGATGCAGTCACTCAATTATGTCTTTTCTATTTAGTTACTCTGAGGAAATGCTGTGATCTCAAAGGGTAAAAGCCACTTGTTTTTGTGGCTAGTGGAATAGTTGAGAACAGGTGACACAGACTGTAGACATAATCCTTTGCCTTGGCTGGTGTGGCTCAGTGGTTGGAGCACCAGTCTGTGTACCAAAGGGTCGCAGGTTCGATTTTGGGTCAGGGGCACGTGCCTGGGTTGCGGGTTCCCTCCCCGCCCCAGGTCGGGGCATGTGCAGGGGGTGACCAGTTGTTGTGTCTCTTTCACATCGATGTTTTTCTCTCTTTCTCTCGCTTGCCCTCCTTCCCTTCTACTCTCTCAGAAAAACAGTGGAAAAAGTATCCTCATGTGAGGATTAACAAGAAGAAATTGTCCCTGAAAGTAGTATTAAGAGAGAACAGGTAACACAAATAAAATTTCTTAATCCTCTCACATTACGCTGTTCCTGTGGACACTAGTAAAAAGCAGTTTTTTAGCCTGACTACAGGTTTTTTTGTGAGTGGATTTATCTCCCTAAGATCTGGGCTTCAAAAATTCTAGAAAGTAAAGAAGAGATGGGCTGGCCAGGAGCTCCAGAGACGGCTGTAAATATCATGCATGTATCAAACCAGTGACTTTAGCAAACTCCAGGCCACATGCCCAGCTCAGACTTTGATTTTCCATGTCTCCGTGAGCAGGGTCATGAAGTCAGATAGGCTACCGGACCCTTACATGTGCCCTAGAAGGTTCTGGGAAGAAGACATAGCAATGAATGAAAATCCACCTGTGGGTCTAAGACTAGCATTCGGGGATAGCTTGCAATAGTTGTCCTAAAAGTGCCACGCACTGAGTGATTTCTTTGCTCCGGACACTGGGAAAATGCGTTAATTGCACCATCTCAACTTCTCATAACAGCCCATACGGAAGGGCTTTTTCATTCCATTTTATAGAGAAGCAGCCACTGAGGCTGAGAGGCGGGGGTCTTGCTGGGTTACAGGGTTGAGAGGCACTTGAGTGAGAATTAAAGCCCAGGTGGGGTGGTTCCTGACCCAAGTGCTGCCACCAGCCTTGGGCAACCTCAGGCGGGATGCTCTCTGTGGGACTCGGGTCCGTCCTGTGGGTCAGAGCCGCCACCCTCTTCAGGGACCTCAGCAAAGGGCTCCTGCCTTCTGCTGGCCCTTCAGGTGGCAGTGACTGTGCTGCAGAAGTGATACTCAACTCGTTTCTAGAACGCTCTTTCCCGTTTCCTAATTAATTAAATGGGAAACATTGAATGGATGATCACAGTGGCCCGAGCCTACCCATCAAGCTATAAAAGTTTCTCATTTAACGTTTGGAAAGTTCTGAAAGGGCAGAAGATGTCTGAGGTCTTTGGGCAGAAAGTCCCCAAGGGAATGAAACAGGAGACTGAGGTGCTTGCACGTCCAGGTTAAATCTCGAGGTCCCCGGTACGCTCTCAGAGGATTCCTGACCCAGGCTGGGGACAGAAGCACAGGCTTCGACCCCTTCTTCCTGCCTCCGGGGGGGGGACACAGGCTGCCTGCCCTCGGGCCGTTCTCCGAGAGGAGCAACTGTTCAGACACGTTCACAGTCCAGCTCGCCACCCTGACTCCTTTTATTTGTTGCAGTGATTTTTAACTGCTTAATGAGTAAATCACCTTTCTAGAGTTTCCATGTAATTTACCCACAGAGTTTGCGACGAGCACTAAAAATATCTTTATGTATTTAACATCTTCCTGTAAGAGAAACATCTGAAGGGAGCTGAGTAAAGCAGGAGTCTCAGAATTGGGAACAAAGATGACCTGATGGGTAATGTAAGGACCCCTCAGTCCTTGAAAACCAAAGGGTCACCTACAAGGCACACCCGCCGTTCAGCAGGACATTGTGCCCACCGAGGCGGGACTTGAGCCAGACTTGAGCCTTGGTTCTCAGGTCTGGACACAGGGCTGCCCAGCCCAGGGGAGGTAACTGCGCTGACCCAGACGGACAGTGCGCCACAGAGGAGGGGCCCTCACCTCTGCCCTCACCTGCCCTTCCCGACCTTTGTTTCAGGACCTGGAAGAACATGCCTTTGAAAACCCATAACCTGACCATCAAAAGCACAGATCATCTTTGCAGAGGCTGAGCACGGCCGACGCTGGGAATCCACTTACAAAGCGGGACCCTGTGTGTGTGAGGAGGGTCGCTTTGGGAGACAGCAGCTGAGCCCCCGTCAGCCCAGGGGGAACACGTGCGAAGGGCGAGTGGTGCCAGCGCCCGGCCAGCTTCAGCCTGCAGCCCATGCCACCTGCAGTGAGCTGGGGTCTGGGGGTTGCGGGGGGTCCCTCCAGGACACTTGCTCCACCCCATGGCTCAGCTGAAGTCTCCAGAGGGCACATTCAAGGCCAAGCAGAACCATATTAGGAATGGTTCTCGGATGGAAAAATAGAAAATCTAACAGGAAGCGTTAGGCCTAATCTCACATTGTTTATCAACGTTTTACTGCGATTTATGACAT